GATTGGTTTTCAAGTATCAGCCTTTCAGCGAGTTCAGTTGTGCGGAGAACAGAAGAACTTGGAGAGAACATAGTGTTACAAATACGCGAGAAAGCTAGGAACTTCTTGTGGTGTTCTCTGGCGCTGGATGAGTCTACAGATCTCTCGAGTACGTCACAACTTCTCGTGTTCATTAGTGGTGTTAATTGGACTTTCAGATCACAGAAGAGTTGGCATCCGTTTGCAGCATGCACGGAACAACAACTGGAGAAGACATTTTCATGGAAGTGCAGAAAACTTTGCAAGGCTATAACCTTCAGTGGAATTAGCTTCGGTGTGTTACAGTTGATGGAAGAAAAAACATGGCTGGAGTGAGGAAGGGTCTGGTGGGGCAGATACGAACTAAGTTGGAAGATCTTCAACTCCCGGGCGCTCTGTTTATACACTGCATTATACATCAGCAAGCACTCTTTGGGAAAGACTTAGATATTACTTGCGTACTGAAACCAGTCGTTTCTGCAGTGAACTCCATTCGGGGTCATGCACTTAATCACCCCAAGTTCCAGACTTTTCTTGAAGAAATTGATTCTGAATTCTGTGACTTGCTTTATCACACAGCAGTGAGGTGGCTCAGCTGCGGTAAAGTCCTGTTTCGTTTTTATAAGCTCCGAAGAGAAATAGATATTTTTTCTCACCGAAAAGGATAGAGCCTCTCTCCGAAATCCTTTGATGATTCTGTAGAGATCACAGATAAGGTTATCCTTTCCCTGAAGTCTCAAGTTCAATTCATTCATATGGGATGTGATGTCAACCAAAAATGACAACTTTGACAGCCAGGTAGGATCTGACAAAAGTGGATCAGCTCTATCCTTTTCGGTGAGAAAAATATCTATTTCTCTTCGGAGCTTATAAAAACGAAACAGGACTTTACCGCAGCTGAGCCACCTCACTGCTAGTTGTGCTTCAAACAATGATAGTGGAAGGAGGAAACTTCTCTCATTTTCAGTGTTTCAAAGAGTTTCACGCTGGAATCGCAGAAGATGTCAACCTCGAGTTTCCGAAGAAGATTATTAGTGACTTAAATAAGCATTTTATTTAGATATTTTTAGATTTGGACAGAATTGAGATTGACATTCTTCTGTTCCAGAATCCGTTTGATTTTAACCTTGATGACGCGCCAGTCGAACTACAGTTGGAGCTCATTGATTTGCAAGCAAATGACGTGTTGAAAGAGAAGGAAAACTTGTTGAATTTTATCACTGCTTACCTGATGATGAGTTTTCAAAGTGAAGAAATTTGCCTCTGGTATGGCATCAGTGTTTGGAACAACTTGTGTCTGTGACCAAACATTTTCAAAAATGATTTATGTGAAGTCAGCACATCGAACGAAGTTAACTGATGAACATTTGAAAGCAATTCTCTTGGTTGGATGCAGCAATTCCAAAGCAAATATTGATGATATCTCAAAAGCTAAACGACAGTTTCACAAATCTCACAAACCTTTTTTGCTGCTTAGTTTGTGAGATTCGGATATGTGCACACTGGGTGTGATATAACTACCTTAATGCTAACGTCGCGTTCTTTGATAACTTTTTGGAAAATAAACATGTTTGTTGTCTTTATTTTTTGTGTATTCACTGTATTGTATTGAACAAAATGGTTATGCGGCCCGCGCTCATCATTCTCTCAGTTATCTAGCCCGCTGTGAAAAAAGTTTGGTGACCACTGGTCTAGTATATCCTCTAAATTACTGATAATAGAATTCAGAATATTCATAAGAGGCTGCCCGTATGAGTCTTAATTACACACTAGATCACCGTGATCCGTTGGGTCACCAACTATTCAGAGGCTATGAAAAATTCAAGCTAATTTCAATATTTAACGAAACTTGTTTTATTCTGTTTCTATTCTCATTTCATTACAAATATGGCGCTGTTTTGCGCAGTTTTTGCTGTATTTAATTACAGACAAGCAAACAATCTCAGAGTTTAAGTAATATATAATTAATATTATATGAGATTGACATGGCTTTTTACTTTTTTCATGTGTTAAGTGGAAAGTTTCCTAATATCAAAAATATCACAGTGGGGATGTTTACTAGATATCTGTAAAATAAAGAAAACATAATAAGTAAATATGTAAAGAATATAATAAAACTGTAAACATACAATTCAAAACATCAATATAAATTTTGTTAATATGAGAAAATCGTATCTTTGTTTCATTTATGGTGGATATTCGTTTGGTTCCTAGGAGAGTCTGATAAAAGAAACGAATCACATTGTAAATAACTCGAATGCGAAAATATGTAGATCTTCAACAAAAGCCATTAGAATATGTCTTTGATACAGATATTGAAATCAACTTACCGTATCAACAGATAGCGTATGGAGGTGCACGTCCAATTCATTATCAGAGGTGGATAAAACCTGTATAAAGAACGATACAATATCAAACAAGTAGAAATGAACACAGACTGTGTATAATTATATAAACTAAAATACACATAAGGTACAATTATCAACAAATTATTAAAATCATAAACAATCAGAAGTTACTTTAACGTTTTCCACAGCAAACAGAGGATTCGGTACTAGCTAGAGATTCTTATAATTTATCAAGATACCTTGGTTGTAGAATGAATATACATTGTTTTGGTTGTCTTTTCATAGTAGGCCTGTGATACGTGACTGGATGAGAAATAAATATACCAATTCTTGCCCCCCCCCCCCACCTATGTCTGCGGACTTACAACGCTCAAAATCTGGTTTCGATATCCGTGGTGTGCAAAGCACAGATAGCCCATTGTGTAGATTTGTACTTAATTACAAACAAACAAAAAAAAACAATTCTTTGAATATATAATCACAGATATGCAGAGTTTTGGAAAAAACAAAACGTGTTTTAGAAAGTTGCGCAATATCATAAATATATATATATATATATACATATACACTAAAATATGATGTTATATGACATATAACAATCCTGACCCCGCTGACGGAAGCACAGGTGCCTAAAATATAATACATTCTGGGGGGGCCAGTGTAATCATAGTAGATAGCAGATATTCACTACTTTGCAAACAACGTCGTCAAAGAAAATAGTCCCAGTTATAGAGTCTGTTTGAAAAACGGTGTAGAATAAATGAATTAAAAGAAAAAACTAAATAAACCTATGAATGATGTAGACTAACTACCATTTGATGGGACAATTTAATCATCGAAGGAAAGTAAGTAGAAAAATGATGTAATACTTGACACTCCTCGTTCAAATAATGATTTTAACTTCTAAAAATTCCTAGGATGTATAAAGATTAATTATTGAAATGACAAAGGGTAAATCACAATAGTTTTAAAATTCACTTGTTTAACTTTATTATTTTTCATACGTATAATGTTTTCAAACTGTACTTATAATAAAAACAAAGGTACTTTTTTCTGGGGAAAAAGAAACATCTTCTGACTTGAGTATTAATTAACAATTAATTATTATGAAAATAAATTCTCGAAATTTGTTGTTTGGTAGATTTTTTCATTTGCTGTAGTCCAAATGCAGCTTGTCGAATGTCGTTCTCTCGCTCTATACGACATGATAACGTGTGGAAATTAACCATACTAGTCCATCCATTCAGAGCTTATAAACTTCATAAACGTCTTCACATTAATTATTCATATAATTGATGAAGGTGTGATATTCCATACTGTGTTAACCAAACTTCAAGAGCTGTAATTAATCTGATGTTTTGTCACTTGTAACAGATCAGACACTCTTGCTAAATACTTTTAGGTGTTTTTATCCCTTAATACCGTATTGTTAGTACTAAATACAGACAACATTTCAGATCGACTTTGACTGTTGCATAAGTTAGTGTGTCCTGACCATTATGATTCAAAAATCTCCGTGGAAGCCAAAAGTAGAACTAAGACGATAGATTATGTGTTATACCTACAATAGCAAACACTTCAGTTCAAATTTCTTCGATTAACAAACACATTTGTGACCAAATTTCAACGTGGGTCGGGCTTTCTCAGTAGTTAGTCTTTTGCTCCAAACGCTCAACGTTTGAGCCAGGATATGATGTAGATCACGCTTTGCAATTTCTTTATGGTAGTATTAGAAGTTTAACAGTCAATCCTTCTATCCTGTTAAAATTAACCGCATAAATAGACGGTGGTGCTGCTGCCTGGTTACTCTTTCTTTGGCCAGCAGTTCTAAGTGCGGGATGGCTATATTTGAATTTATGGTATCTGTAACTTAGCTTACATCAATATATTGTGTAATGTACCGTTCAGAATGAAAATATAAAATTGCTAAGTTTGACGTAAGAAATGAATAAAAACACATTATCATGCACATTGCGCCCTCTTTGTTTGATATTTTACCGTGAAAAACAAACAAAAGAAAAACATTAATGCTATTCCTTTATACGTCCATAACCTTGAAAATGCAGTTCATTCCTGAAGTTATGGTTTATCGTTTAAATTATTTTTGAATGTTTTCAACGGTTGCTTAAATATTTCTAGATATTGAAACTAGATATTGAAAAGCGATTTTTAAACAAGGTAAATCTTTACAACAAATCTGATGAAACACAGCAGAATTAGAAGTGTTTTTTTATCGTAGCCAAATGAAGACAAAAATGTGTAATCTACATGAAACACATGATAAGGTCGTACGTTTTAACTTTGCTTACTTTGTATATTAGATTAATTCGTTTTAAAATGACGTCTTGGAGCACATAACTGACGATAAATTTCTGTGTTCTTTAAATGTACCATTCAATGAATCATTGAAAAAATTTAAAATACGAAACGTAGTGTACACATTCAATACAAATGAAAATTATATTAATAGGTAATGTAATCCTTGTTTACAGATGAAAAGTAACAAAATATAATGCTGTGGAGATTTTCCTTCAGATCTGGTTTATGTAATTTACATAAAGATTTCACAAATCAGCAAAAATTATGTTGTTTTTTCTTTGTTTCTCTAAAAGTGTTATGAGGTCTCTGTACATTATTAATGTGTTATGAGGTCTCTGTACATTATTAATGTGTTATGAGGTTTCTGTACATTATTCATGTGTTATGAGGTTTCTGTACATTATTCATGTGTTATGAGGTCTCTGTACATTATTCATACATTTGACTTGAAATGTTCTTCTATTTATTTTAAAATGTTTCCAAAGCGCTACCTATGCTCTTTCAGCATTCTTCTTTCTCTGACAGCAGTAGAGTAAACTGAAAGAGTTTCAAGTCAATTGATTCTGTTATAAAACTTACTGCCGTGTATATGTAAAACCAATTTGTAAATAGCCTATATTACATAATTACTTTACTTCTCGGTTATTCATGATCAACTGATAGCAGTAATATAAACTCAACAGAAGCTTAATGCAGCATAGCACAACTCACCTTTATATAACTTTATTACGAAGAAATACTTTAACTGAAGTCCTGGTAGAAAAACTGAAGCTGCTATAAAGCTTCAATATACATTTTGCATCTACGCTAAAATGCCGAATAGCTAAACGTGCTTTGATAACTTTAACATTACACATATTAATTTCTAAGATCTAGTTAATGTGTTCTTAGTTTCTGAAAACGTTATGCGTTTGTGAGATTATTAAGTTTGCTCCAAATAAATTTCTCTTCAGTAGACATTATACCTCATAATCACTAAAACAACCTGATGTTGCTAATGGATTCAATTAAACCATCAGCTGTTTAGTATTAAAGCAAACAATTGGAAAGAAATTATTTTAACATTTGTTTGTTGTAAACATAAAGCTACACAGTGGGCTACCTTTTATCTGGTCCCTGACGGTGTTGAAACCCGTTTTTCAACGATATTTTTTTTTGGAGGGGGGGTGTTTTTTCTATCTAAATTCATTAAATATGTTTTCCCATTAAATCTTGAAATAAATCGTCTATTAGTATTTATATTAACATTGATTTATTATAGTGTTCTGGAGAAAATTATATTTTTGTGTTTTATTTTTTTTAATTTTTGATATGTTTTTATCTTGTGTTTAACAAACAAGTTGTTTTGTATAATGTATACATGGAATCTTTTTTTTCTTACACCAGCTACTTATTTAGGGTTATCATTACTTTTATAATAATAGTTGTCGTATGATTTGATATTTTGTCAGTGACGGTAGCATAAACTTGAATCTTATATGTAATGTAATTCAACGTGCATTCTTATTATTGTCAAAACAAAGCAATACAGACTGACTAATATACTGTATTACGATGCAATTTGGCAATTCAAACACAGGATCATAGGTTGAGCAAACTGATTTTAGTATCTTACAAGGTATTCCTCGTTGCTTATTTTTATATGGATAATAACTTAGAGGAATAATAAACTAAAAGGTTCCATTCTTCGTGGAAGACAGGATGCACATAGGCTATTGTTTAATTTTGCATTAAAGCATATATAGTGGCAAAACTGTGAAATTCTTGCATTGTTAAAGTGAATTTTACATTAAAGATACATTTGGAAACTTTCATGGAAAATACCATAAACAAATTAATGGCATTTCTTTGGCTGCTAATTACACTCATTCAAGTCAAATCTATATCACCTGTTTTACTAACCTAACTTCAGTTAAACTTTTTCTTCGTGCTAAAAACATAAACTAATATTACTTATATTGATATTCTACTTTTAACTTACGAAATTTATTGAGGTTTGATGCTACTAAAATTTACATATTTGAGCTAGAAATCACATTTAATCATCTTTAGATAAAGCAAACAATCTCGAATTATGCATCAGCTAAGTGAAGAAGTTTCCATGCAACATCAATGACAAAAGAAAAAATATTATTTTTTTCTATATTGGCTTACCCTCTTTTAATTAAAATACATACTAAGATCTGTTGCAGAAAAATATGCATAAATCACAATGTCGTACGTTTGCCAGAAGCATAAAGAACAATGTATATTTAACTGCAAACAATGATGTAACAAATTAATGTGCAATGATTTCGATAAATATCTAAGAAAATTCTTGTAACAATATAGTGACAATCCATTAAGTTCTTTCATCCTATTTGTTTTATATTTCAACTTGGTTCCAGTGTACTAATATTCATAACATTGTTTTAGGTAAAATTTGAAATATTAAAAATATTTGAAACATATCCTTCTCAAAATTGCCGTTTACATGAGAAGTTATTTCTTTTGTAAGAAAGACTAAACAAAATAGAAATAAAATATAGAATAAATATATAAGTATATGATAATTGTGATCGCGATGTTGGAAATAAAAATGTACTGTAGTAACTTTAATCTGTAGACAAGACAAGTGACGTGATTATTGGTCTATTTTTATAAGTTTTTACTATACAGCAAGTTAGAATTTTGATCGAAAAACAAATGATCAGGATAGAAATGTAAAGCTGAACACCTATCAG